TCAAGTAAGGTTCTATTGGGCTTAATGTATATTCACACGTTCAGATTTTCTCGAAAGCCATCTCTATTCGTAAAGAAAGAAATTTATAAAGAATTAATGGGTTTTTTTTTAATCCAGCATATTTGTAATACTTCAAACATTATTCTTAAATTTAAATTTAATTTTTTTTTCTTTTTTTTTTTTACTTTTTACTTTATCTATACATTATGCATTAAATTTAACATTTAAAATAATGAAGAAATGAGCAGTCGTCGAAAAAATGTTCCTGGCTCAGGTGATCTCTCAGAAATTCTTCTATGTGCCGTGCCAATCCGGGGGGTCATGGCTCTCCACAATTTCTCGTTCTTTGTATATCTTAATCAATTTCATCATTCTGCTGTCCCCTAATCCCTGTTCTCTTAACCATTGACATACGCCCATTAGGTCGGTTATAGGCTGTTGCTCTTCGTCCATCTTGACCTCAATATTTCCTGTGAGTATCAAATTTTCTAAGCCTTCTTTCCTCATTATATGCCCTAGAAATTTCAACTGTGTCTTTCTCATGCAGATATTTCTTCTTATAACTACTTCTGAATTTTATAAGCAATTCGTAGTAATGTATTTATGAAAGGCATGGAAGCAGTTTTATTTGCGCCCTGACTTTGCCGGCAATATTCTAACAAAGTAAGATGGCATAAGAATAGGACCAATAGAGGAAGGATATTTTCCCTGTTGCCCGTAAAAGATAACCCAGAAACACTTGTTGCGTGTCATTTGATGAGAAGAATTGGCAACACCAAGGATCACGCCCCCAAGTGCCTTAAGAAATTCCGTGAAGAACCCAGCACAGTATCGACTAAATCATGATATTAATTTTCCAAATGAGGAAAAACATCTTCAACTACAGAATAATTATAAAATAAGTGAGCAATATTGTACAAGCGGTTTGCATTCAATGACATCCTTAGAAATAGCAGAAAACCCCTGAGTTCTGTTTTCGCTCCACCATTTCCTGAGAAGGAACATAAAGGTCTTCTTTTATAATGGTTGGTAGCGAGGCGTACATATTGGTTAGGGGTAGTCACCTGCTCTTGGTTTCATGGAAAAATCTGCAAACAGATTAATTAAACTCGGGATTATAATCCTTAGTTACTTATTATAATCGGAGGTTGCACAACACGTAATATGACTTCGGCAACCTTTGGTGTGTCTATCGCCAGTGTACCCGACGGCGCCTATCCCACTACAGATTAGTTTTGAATTCAGAGTTGTCGTTCTCCTAAACTGGGTTCCCTCCTAAGTCTAAAGAACACATTCTGCCATATTAATTTACAGGGGTTCATTATCCTAAAACTGATTACCTTACCAAAGCTAAAGAACCTAGTTTTCCCTATTATTTACTAGGTTAGGAAATCAGTTTTCTTTTATCGTTGTCTAATTTTCAACCAAAGCCAATAGGCCCTATTAATACCGGGAAGTAATTCAACGTTTTCATGCTGGTTATGCTATCAAATCTAAAGAGCCTAGATTGCCGTATTATAAAGGGCAGGCTACTCGATTATTTACGAATGTTTGTATTTAGAGTTGACCTTCTATTACAGTGGTCGCCATGTTGAGATAGTCTTCTATTTATCTGGCATCGTAGGATAATGGATTGATTGTCATTCCATTGTGACTACTTAACGTTTGTTTTTTATTTAATATTTCACTCGACTTTGACAAGAAGCTCCCTCTTGAAGGTGGCACAATTAAAGAAACCTGATATTTTTCTCCTCTTTTTTCGGTCGGTGTTATTAAAATGTCTTACACTGTAAGATTTTAAAGTTCTGCCTATCATCATCCAGTGGGTTTTGCTTCCTTTCATTCATGGGATCATTCTTCGATGAAATATGACTCATCATGGATTATTTTTTTTAATTTTAATGTATTTATTTTATTTAATTAAAAATACGACATTAATATAATGCTAACTCCAGCAAATAACTCGAAGGAATTGTGTTCCCAAGATAACACTCAGTTATATGCCATGCCTGATACACGCTTAGGCGATCATGTATCTTTCGGTAGATGACTGACGAGGCAGATTTTTTGCCATTTCTGCGGTAGAGTAGTTGCCATCCAAGGTTATAGAACCCGGTCTGTCCTGCTATTTACCCGTAACTGGTGGTGGTGGAAGAAGAAGAAGAAGAAGTAGAAGAAGAAGAAGAAGAGGATTCATACCTTTGCCAAGGTTATTAGCCTATAAATGAACGTAATGGATTCGACTAGAATTCGAACTCGGCTCTCCGATTCCTCAAACCGAGCCGCTATCTATTACTCCACCGTGCCTCCATTACGTACCCTAAATAAGCCGGGATATACATGAAAGATCACACAATCTAGACCAGGGAGCAGACCCACCAAACAATATTAAGATATTTGATAAAGAAAATCGTGGGATTCTTTGTTGTTTTTCTTTGCTATCGTCATCTAATGAGATGGAATTGAAATTAAAATATCAATGTCACGTAGTCGCTTATAAGAATTCTGAATTAATAAATACTGAAACGTCCAGTTATAATACATTTCGTATAGAAGGTAGGAATATCGAACAGTGAATATATAACACTATGGTTATCAATAACCTCTGAACCCTTATTCCTGTTCTTAAATAGCCCAGTCTGATCGATACATTTATATAGATCTCATGCATGTGGCCAGACATATTCAGAAATATCTATACTGTCAGATGGATACAACCGCTTTCTCAGATAGCCTTGAACGAATGAAGCCTGTACATCTCAGCAAGGATCATTCTTCTTCGAACCTCGAAAATCGGCGCTACAGAATCATAAAGAACTAACTAGCTTTTTGCACTTTTATTTTTCTAATTTTTTTTTATAAACAATTTTTTTTCTATCCTCTGCCAACCGTAATGATGGAGAAAGCATTACCTCGAACCATCGCCAGAGAGACACGCTGCAAGAGCCACTCCGTTTCGCGAGGCTCGTCCCTTAATCGAGACACAATCGCGCCAATCCTTCGAAGGAACGCCATCGAACGAGAGCCAATAACCCCTGAAGTCTCCACTGCCACAGGAGTTAAAAAAAAGTCTATCAGCAAGAGAAGAATATTTAACTTTTTTTTTATCTCTGCGTCCCGGGCGACGGATCCTGGCTCACCTGCGGACTTGATCAAATTACCGACCGAAAATGTATCCGCACAGGTCGCATCCCAAATAAACGACTTCCCCATTTTAAAAGGGAAAATAGTAATGCCGTCCGGCTGCTTTCCATCACCACGGTCGAGGCTTACGGGTTCGATTTGGGAAGGGAACCCAGCTGCATCCAAACCTCTTCTGATGATGTCGTTTATTGCTGCATACCGAGGAAAGCGGCCGGCACTACGACGACAGAAGAGAGGATGTAAACCAAACTCATCAATGAAAGCTCCATGGAAGAACTAACTAATAACAGAAAACACATCACTTCTTTACGGCTTTCAAAAGCAGCAACAGCTTAAATGAAAAGCACATATAACTCAGAGAGGAAATAATGACATCATTGAAATACTGACGTTCCACAATACTTAATGCAAAAGGCTACCTAGGAAACATCTAACAATAACGTAAATAGTGACAACAGTGCATCGAACAAAACCTATTTTCCTGGCTGCTAGGTCAGTCTGCGCCGAATGTTCTCACATCAGGAAGCAAATAATATTACCATGATTATCTATCTATATACGCTATATCTTTTAAATGAAGAATTATCCGTATAGTATATTTTACTATTCAGACCAGTATGCCCATTTTTGTCTTTATATACACAGTGTTCTGTCTTAAGGAGAGTAACCACTTGTCTCAGTAGATAGCCTGGTGAAGATTTTCGTATTCTCTGTGTAGGAAACATACTTGCAATTCAGTTCCGTTATATAGAAGCAGAAAGAACGTTTATTTCTCAGTCTAAAAAGTATTTTAGGTAATGGGATCACCGTTAACCCCTGTAATGGCAAACACGCAATGAATACATAGAGGAGGTGGCTGTAGGAAAGTCATCACTTTGGTATGTAGATGTTATCTTCATACTCTTATCCTAACACGAAAATGTGTAAATATTCTGGGGGAAATGCCGGGGAGTTAAACAACAGAAAAATATAGCAACAAAGATGAGCGTACTTGTTCGATTAGGTATGTATGTATGTATGTATGTATGTATGTATGTATCTAGCTCTCTCTTTCTCACGACACACACACATACACACACACACACACACACACACACACACATATATATATATATATATATATATATATATATATATATATATATATATACATCTCAATGAATATGAATGAAAGGCACTGCAGTCACGCGTGTTACAAAATGATATATTTTCTTGACATTGAGTGTGCAAAAACTGTTCAAATGATCTGTTGATCCGAGCGCTTTCTACTAAACTATTATCTATTATCAAGGATGTTTTTCATTTAACTAAAAATAGTATATAGATTTTTAATATATATATACATGGTTAATGTCCAAACACGGTTAACACGTTGTGGGCGTATTCATAATTGATATTACTTAGAGCTGAATTTTTCATTTTGTTACTGAAGCTTGCATTACATTTAACCGCTTTTGGAATGTGGACGCAAAACTTGTATTAAGGAAGGATCAATTCCCCAAATACACAATTATATTATCTATCTATCTATCGATATATATATATATATATATATATGTGTGTGTGTGTGTGTGTGTGTGTGTGTCCTATCAGGGATTCAAATGAGTACAGTAAAAGAAGGAAAAATATTTTTTAGAGTTGCCACAAACATAATGGAAATATTTTTTAACCTGCAGTTGTGACATTTTTTCCCATGTATTGATTCGGCGTCATTCAAAAACGAAAAAGAAAAAAAAATGTCTAAAGAAAAAGTCAAAAGAGTAACTGTCTCTGATTCCGAAAAAAAAAAAAAAAAAAAAAAAAACTCCCAACAAACAAAAATCATTTCAGCTGTTTTTATCTTTTCCTGTTTACAT